GGGCATACACCATGCGATTTTTTCAATCGTCACACTGTACGACGAAACCGCAGGGTTTTGTCGTATAGTGTGAGTTCACAGCTCAGGATGTTTGTTCTCACACTGTGTGACCCGACGCTCTGATGCGATCTACCTGTTCACACTGTACGTCTAAAAACCTTGTCGGACTCAGCTCCGCAATGAGGTGGCGCTAATCGGACTCATCTCTCCCGAAGCCAAACCCTCAATAGAGTGAACAGCGCTGCCTTGGCTATATGTTCAATTTTGTGTGCCGAAAGACCTAAAAAGAAAAGGCAATGACGTATTTGGACAAAACATGGCTGAGCAAACTTGGCTAATATGGTCTGTCAATTTTACAGAAAAAACTCCATTTCACTCGCACCATCGCCATGCTGCTGTGTTTACATCTGAGAGGAGGAAGAAGAACAATCCTTGTTTGCGCACTGAGTGATTTGCCACCGACCGCCGACTGAATTTTAAACATGTTAGATTTTCCCCCGACGTCATGAGAGGCTGATCACTCCTCGTTACCCCCTGTACACTACACGATGCACCATCAGGCTGAAAGTCGGCCTGATCGGAATAATTCTCGCACGACTGAAAAGTCAGCCCAAAAAGGGCAACAAATCATACAATGTATGCCCAACTTAAGCAGAGCAACAAGATCTTGTGATGTTTTCCAGAGATATATTATAAAAAAAAAACAAAAAAAAAAACAATATACCGTCCTAGCTTCTGTATCGGGATAAATCATATTGTGAAACAAGTATCAGAATATGCATCATATTTTACTTTAATCTTCATAAAAAAAGAAAAAATATAATCATATATATTATATATATATATATATATATATATATATATATATATATATATATATATATATATATATATATATATATATATATATATATATAATTTTATTTAAAATACTTGTTTCTTACAGTTATTCCTATAACTATTATATAAATCATATAAAGTTAAATCATTTGCCTTCAGGGGCACATGATTAAACTGTTCAACAATAATCTAATTAAATCCATATATTGACATGTGAAAGTTCTGGACCAGCTGCAGCTAAACTCTGTGCCAGGGTTACAGCAAAGTGGCTCCATTTTTGTTATCTGGTTACACAACAGAAATGTTTTTAATTATGAGATCAAATAAAGAGGGAGCGCTGAATGCAGAGAGTGAACGTGTTGGCCAAGTTTTAAATGACTGTTTTTAAATAGATTTCTCAGACCAATAAAATTAGTTGGATCTGTTCAAATGTGTGTCATTACTATTTGGTAACAGAGCACAACCCTTCAGGCATTGTATTTATGGCAGATTTTGACACCGAAACCTTAGAGGGAAAAAAAGTGATGCGTCGAGCAAATATTAACGATCTTGCATAACTTCCCCCACGAAATCCTTTTTACTGGAAGTGACTCAAGGCAAATCAGACTTAAAAGCAGCACTAAATTTAATATTTTTTACATAAGCAGATATTTATGGCAGAAATGTATTGCATAAAAATGTAATTGTGCTGCAGGGTAAAGTACATGTTTAATATGCGAGAGAATCAGTTTTTTATCCGCTTTCTTGGATAGCTGAGTTCTATGTATTCTATTTGTTGTGCCCGGTGTTGCCTTGTTTCATTACACAACACTATTATTTCCAAAGAGGATGCTTAATAGCTTATTCTTAGAAACCAAAAAGAACATTATAAAGTTCTTGATTGCATTGCGTATACTGTCCCTGCATCCATGCCACCTTCCTCTCTGAAGAACAGCCTCCACACACCGTGATGCTTCCACCACCGTGTTTCACTATATAGTGTGCCCTACTAGTCAGCACACAGTCCAGCTGCTCATCTATGAAGTGACCTTAACCTTTTATAGGGCAAGTTAGTGTTTTTGATCACTTCCCTTACATATGGACCCCCCCCCCCCCCCCCCCCCCCCCCCCCCCCCCAGTCCCTCAGTGATGTCTAGCGGCACAAGATCTATATCCAGCCATTCAGCAAAGATACTGCTACATGGCTGTACATCTTATTTAGGCATCTGACCAATCAGATGAGCTCTTGAATAATATATTACCTACTGTAAATTAAGCTGAAAAAAAGTCTACAAGTCAAGAAAAAAAAAAGGTACAGAGCTAATTGAAAAGTTAAAAAGTAAAGTTTAAAAGTTAATAAGCCTGGTTAAGAATTATATTTAGGTTTATAAACAAAAAAAAAAATTAAGTGTTAGTGTCAGCATTAATGCTTCTAAGATTATGTTGGACCAAAAACAATGTGTTTCTTTCACTCTAAGAGTGTTTTTTCATGAATTTCTTATAGAAGCACTTTTATTATTTTGCTTAATATATTCAGGCAAGTTGGATTTTCTTGTTATTACATTGACATACTTTTTTTTTGCATCAAAATATCCATATAAGAATGTTGCAAAGGTAATAAGGTCTTGTCCTGTATTCCAATAACATTATTGGCTTTTCGCTGAGTGCCCCTATAAATTGTTAAGAGCAGGATGGTGACCCTGAATTTCATTTGGGCATATCAAGAGTAATAGGGAAAAAGTCTAAATGTTTCCCGTACAGTGAGTTTTATATTTCCCTTTTTCCAAAAAATAAAGAAAACTTAAAAACTAGATATATTCTATTTGCTTGACACTTCACTACTTAGTGTTTGGATTAATCTTATAATCATAATTTGATTTCCTGAGGCTGATTTGAAGGTGAATTTTTATTTAATTTTTTCGGGGCACAGCCCTCATCTATGCGACACTTAAACCTCCATCACTGGACTAACACTAACAGTCTTTACAGCTTGATCGGTCTGATGACAAAGGCCAGACACATCATGGTCAAAGGTCAGAGGGAGAGGCCTAATGTCACTCTGCTGTTGTAATGCCAGGTGCAGGGGTGGATTTTGGAAATTTGGGGCCCTAGGCAAAGACAGGCAGGGGGCCCTCTGAATTGAGAAAACAACACATAAAACAGACCAATTATATAGAGAAATGTTAATAGAATAGACATGTTATTTGTTCTACATTTTGTCCCTTTTCTGGTTGTTTTCCTCTCTATGTTTTGTACTCAGCTGACTTTTCATGCTGTCTCAAAAGGAATGAAAGATTTTTTCCAAGTACTAAGCTCACTTGGAGCTTAGTGCTCCTTCCTGTGTTTCCAAATAGGTGACGGCAAAAGTAAATAACCCAGTCCTTCTTTTCACTGTAGACAAGCCATGATCTGCTTATCTGTTCTCCATTTTTCATTTGGATGAAATAATAGCTGCATGAATCATGACAGCAGACGAGATAGAGGAGAGCAGGAGGCGGGGTTACCAATCTAATTGCTCCGGAGAGCAGACGTTGGTGCTTTAAGCAGCAGAAATAAGTCACTAGATTTGCCGCTTGGCACTTTTTTCAAATAAAAGTGCTAGAGGGGTCTGAATAGTCACTAAATATAGCAAGAATAGTGCTAAGTTGGCAACATTGCTCTTCATACTGTTTGTTTTCAACTGCTTTACTGCTGTTTGTTTGAACCTTTTTGAACATGTGCAGCAAATGGACTGATCTAATGTGGTGGACACTAAAGGGGAGGGGGGGGGCTGAGACACAGTTAATATTATAAGTGTTCTGATGGCATTTTAGTGGAAGGATTTTTTTAATCAAAAGCATAACTAATGAACAAAAATAAGGAATACTTGTATTAACCATACATGTAAACTGAGTTTTATGGGCCCCCCAGGAACTTGGGGCCATAGGCAGCTACCTAGTATTGCCTAATGGTAAATCCCACCCTGGCCAGGTGGGATGCGTGCAATAGTCCAACAATAAACAAATTCCATCCAACAGAAGGCAAAAACTATAACAAGAAAAACATATTTGAATGCAACATAACAAACAAAGCAGATTGCGTATGAAGCACTACTGACATCAGATATCACACTCTGCGTGAATTCAGCTCAAAGCAGAGCAAAGTTGTCAGCAGGACCCTCGTTATTTCTGTGTTGGCGCCATGCAGGACAGTCAGACACAGAGCTTGAATAGGCAGCAGAGTATTACACACTGTACAGTTTACAGTCACCGATTATACATAGCAGCATACCCCACTGCTGAGGTGTTGTCACTGATACCGAGCAGGCTTCAAGCTTATAAATGGCAAAGAGGGCAGCTCCCTCCAGGCAGGCTCACAGATGACAGGAACAGGGAAAGGTGGTGCTCTGCCTGTTATTTAAAATGCTAAATTTCCTTTTTTTAATTATTTATATCTTTCTATTCCTCATTTCAGATGATGGAAAACATTGCATTGGCTGTGATATTTAAAAATAAGCCATTGAATATTACTTGGATTTATTTTGTGTCTAAATCATAATAAATTCTGCAAAAAAAAAGTTCTTAAGCTTATTAAGAAATTATTATGGAGTAAAAGTAATAGATTTGTGAGAACTACTACACTGCATGGTTGGTGTTGTTTTAGAATCCTACACTGAAAAAATTATCTAGGAATAAGTTATTATTTCTCAATTTAAGTTTATTTACCCCTAATTTGAGTAAGTAAATTAGATTGTTTGCCAATGGAATGAGTATTTATACTCTTAGAATAAGATAATTAGATAATATGCACTTGAAATAAGACAATGCAATTGGTTTTTCTTATTTTAAATGTAAATTGTCTTGATCCTTTGGCAAAATTTCTCTTTTACCTCCTCAATCCAAGAAAAAATGCACTTATTTTAAGAAAAAATGACAACTTTTTGCAGTATACATGGTATATGTATGTATTTATGGTTGTAAAACGAGTATTTTGTTTCTCCTCGCTGATAAAGTTTGAAAAAAAGGAAAAAGTCTGAAAAAATTGGGAACTGAAGGCGGGAGAGTATATCATTTTTTTGCATGTGACAATTAACGACATTTTCTGGTTGTCAAGCAGGAAATGCGCACTTAAAATCCCGTCCGCCGGGGTTTGCAGAGGCGGTGGTGTTTTATTCCCGAAGGTGCCGCTGAAATATAACTCACCCGCTCTGAAGGTCAGATAGAACGAGTCAGGTTGAAGAAAAGTGCGCGTCCGCTTCCCCCGGAGCTCAGATAGCAGACCCAACAGCGGCTTTCAAACGGGAAGAAAAAAATCCAAAGGGAAAAGAAAAAAACTAGTAGTAAAGTTGAAGGGTGCTTTGTTTCTAAGAATTTCCACACACTGGGAGCTGACAGCTGCTCGTACTTCGGGTTCTGAATTGTATTCGTTTTGACGGTCGGGATGTTGTCACAACTCTGAGCGTCTGCGGTCACCTGTGCCACCACCAATGGCAGACCTCCAACGGGATTGTGGGTAATGGAGTTTTTGCTCAGTCTTTTTGGAAGATGAGTTCCTGAAGATGTTTATAAAGAGAGCAACTGGATCTGCTTATATCAATTTGTTTTTTGTTTTTTTATGATTAGAGAAAGTGAAAGTTTTAAAATTTTGCCTCAGAAGCATGCTGATCTTTATCCTTCAGTTGTTCATTTTTTTTTTCCTATCAAGTCTTTTTATAGCCACAAACTTTATCAGGGTTTTGTTGTTTATCTGAGTTTAAAATATAGACCAATACAAGGATGATCTATATCTAGGTCTATAAATGTCAAACTGGTGGCTTGCATTTGACAGTGTGAGGAAAGGAAAAAAAGTTGACAGAATGTATAGAGCTACTTTTGTTCCATTATTGTTCCATTATTCTAAAAAAAAAAAAAAAAGTAAATGAAAAAAAACGTTTTGTAAACTGAAATGTGGAAAATACTTCAATTTAGAAATGAAACTTAAAAACATTTTAATCAAAGATGTTTTAAGAGTAACTTTGCTGTTTTGTAAGGTGTTTTCAAATGAATTTTTCACATTTTTTTTTTTTTTTTTTATCTGTAATACTGATTTTTTTATATAAAAAATGTCCCAATATATTTATTTTCAATTACTTTCACATCTAAATTTTTAAGATTTTTTTAATCTCTTTTTTTTATCTCCGTTTTTTCTTTTTAACCTCATTTTGTTCTTTTTTTTTCAGACTGGATTTCAAAAATTCCATTTTCTTTTTCAAATTGCATTTCACAGATTGAATTATCTTCACTTTAAAACCCATACAAACACTATCCATAGAAAAGTTGTTGCCAAAATCCAAGCAAACCAATGGAAATGCATAATTTCTCCTCACTCTACTTTTACGTGTTTATATCATCACTGGAAGTATTTTTTTTTATTTGCATTACTTTCTTTCTTTCAGTCTATAACCAGCCCCACTACTTTGTCAAATGTATTTTACAAATATATCCAAAACATTAGAAAACAGTTAAAAACTTCAATATTTTCTGTCATAGATTCCTAAAAGTAGAACTCATATATTTGTTGCACAAAACACTGCGTTAGTGCGAGGTGGCATGAAGCCATCCCCCTGTGGTTCTGCTGCGATATAATCTAGGGTCAGGTTCAATTTTATTCAGTTTATTTCTTTAGCACCAATTCATAACATATCTCATCTCAAAGCAATTTACAGAGATAATTTAATCACATTATAAAAATGTCTTACCCTAAGGAAAAGCAGCTGATTGCATCCATTCACTAACCTTAGGGGATTCACGTTCATTTTGTGATTGACTCTACAGTAATCCCTCCCACCAAGCATACATGCAGCAACAGTAGAGAGGAAAAACTCCCTTTAAACAGGAAGAAACCTCCAGCAGAACCAGGCTCAGTGTGAGCGGCCATCTGCCGAGGGCGATTGGGGTTCAAGGAGACAGAAGCAGACATATAAAAAGGAACATAGAAGCACAGATTTATAATTACACTCTTTGTTAGAAAAGGTAATAGTAAGCTACTTCTACAAGGGCCGCTGTCAATGAAAGAAACAGTTAAGGAGATGAACTCTGAGCCAGTTTTCATGTCATGTCCAGTGGGGTACCAAAATGGCCGACCCAGTTCTCCAGATGCTCTAATAAAATGTGATAAAAAGTGATCAGTATCAAATGCTGCACTGAGGTCCGATAATGCCAGTACTGTGGCCCTTTTACAGGCTGAATTTATTTGGATGAACGCCTTTATCAGGGAGGTCTCAGTACAAAAGGAAGGAAAATATGTGGTGTAAAAAGACTTATTTAAAATATGGGGGAGAATCACAAAGAGTGGACTGGAGTCAGATCTTCAAGACATGCAAGACATGGGTTTCAGCTGTCGCATTCCTTGTGTCAAGCCGCTCCTGAACAGGGAATAATGTCAGAACATCTCACCCGGGCTAAAACTAATGGGAACTGCTGAGTGGTCCGAAGTTATGCTTTATGATTAAAGGAATTTTTGCATTTCACTTGGAAATCAAGGTCCAAAAGTGTGGAGAAGGAGAGGAGAGTTTGTTACCTGAGGTCCAGTGCAAAGTTTCTACAATCAGTGATGGTTTCGGGTGATGGTGCAATGACATCTGCATGTGTTGGTCCAATGCCTTTTCCTAGGTCCAAGGTCAGTTTAGCCGTCTCTCAGGAAGTTTTAGAGCAGTTCATGCTCCCTGCTACAGAACCAACTGTATGGAGATGCAGATTTTACTTGACACCTGCACTGAGTGCCAAAGCTCCTGTTTTAAAGTTTTAGGGAAGTGGCTGTTCCAACTTCTCCCGAGTGGTGCACGACTTTACATGAGTGAATAGTGAATAAGTGAATGTGACTGGCTGTTTATCAAGATGGCAGGATTGTTGTGGTTCGCAAGGAAGTTGTTTGTGGCCAGTTTGTCGGAGGCATCTTGCTAATCAGTTAGCAACTTAGCGCTAGTAGGATCCCAATGGGAAATTCCATTGGGACCAAGTAGCACTAAATTGGTGACTTAGAAACGACACTGTCAAGGAATGCTATGGACAGAGGAAACATGCAAGAGGAGGAGAGTTTAGTGTCAGAGGTCGTGGATGAGTCTCCTCCGTCATACATTTTTTATTTAGAGGAGGAGAGCGGGGATGAAGATGTTGTGGAAGAGGATGCCAGGGCGGCAGAAGCTTGGTTTGGTGTAGAAGGCTTACAGCCGTACATGTTTGAGCCCTTGCCTCGCAACGCTGCCAGTTCTGTTAGCTCTACGCCTGCTGAAGACACAGACGTCCATCCCCGTGAACACTGGGACGGAACTCAGTGGGAAAGGAAATGATTCTTATTTCAACCGTTGCGTATATTAACTGCGCCATATGAATCAAGATGCTATGACCGAAAAAATTTGATTGTTAGATGTCCGTTGATATATGATTGGCTGAATTTAGGTGTAAAGGCTGACGTATAACTAACTGGCCTGCATAAAATAATAATAAAAAAAACACTGACAGATTTTTTTTTTTATAGAAATTTTCTAACTTTTGGGACAATATGGTCTGATAAAGAGTACATTTATATACATGTTTAAGCCAGAATGATTTGACATTTAAATATGACGTCCCTACGACTTTAAGGATCATACTATCCCTGATTTCAATTGTGAAGCAAACTCACCTGACCAATAGAAAGTCTATGCGGTATTGTGAAGAGTAAGTTGTGATATGGCTGACCTAACAATGCAGAGGAGCTGAAGACTATCATCAGAGCAACCTGGGCTCTCACAACACCTGAGCAGTGCCACAGCTAATCAACTCATCTTATTTTATTTTCCTATGCTAATTTTTGGGTTTTCATTAGTTGTATCTTACAATAATTGAATTTATAGAAAATACGTCTGTGTGAAATGGATGAATATAAAGAACAGGTTTCATTTTTTCTAAGGAATTCCTGATTTTTTTTTTTTTTTATTATTCTATGAGCAGCGCCTGTACATTTGAATTTTAATTCTGAGGTCCTTTTTCTTCATCTCTCTGCTACAACCCTGAGAATTTACCCCTCAAAATCTACTTTCCACAGGAGTTTGACTTTGTGAGGATAAAATGTTTGTCTGCATTAGTCCTTTTCCACCATAAATGTGTAAATCAATGTTGCCAGGTTTTCATTGAGCAACCTGTCAGAGCTCCATTTCATTTTCCCTAAGACCCCTTTGAGCCACGTGTGTATTTCCTCAGAGGGATATGTGATACACATCGACGCATGTTGAGCTCAACGTCTGTTGCACAACAAAAAGCTTTGCACTGGAAGGTTGCTTTCAAGGCATACTGCAATCTGGGGATTCCTGATACCATGGGTCCTTCTAGACAGGGGCCAACAAGAGCCTGTTACAACCTGTATGCGCTGAACAGGCATCAATTACAGTTCAGTTTGAATTTTGATTTAAAAATAAGGTAAATTGCTTCAGTTGCACCGTGATTTTCAGCTCCCCGATATATCGATCTTTGAGTTCCTAATTTTAATTTAAAAAAAAAACATTTTAGCATAAAACAATGAGGAGAAATGGGCTACCTCATGAGGAGCCCTTTTGCTGTGCAGCCGAGCCATATCTATAGTTGAGTCATGACTCAAACCCAAAACAACATAAATGACAAAATAAGTAAACAATCACTATCTTTCAGTGGTGTCAAAAGTACACACATTTGTTACTTTAGAAGAAGTATAGATACTGCAGTTCAATAACACTCTGGTAAAAGTTGAAGTATCAACTTGACCTTTTAACTCAAGTACCATAAAAGTAAAAGAGTATGCGCTCCAAAAACTACTTAAAGTATAAAGTAACCTTTAAAAAAAAAAACAGCCAGATGCCACTATATGAATTGAAAGTTCAAATTTTCAACTATTTTGAAAATTTATTTGAGATAGGACCAAGGATGAGGGAAGTCTTGTTGGTCTCTGTCTCCATTTCCCGGTACGCTCTCGCCTGTGTCCGACCTTTCAGACATTTCAAAATGTTTTTCTGAATCCGACATTGTAGCATGGCATAGGCAATTCACGTTAGCAGTTTGAAGAACACCTGCTTGCTTCTGATGATTTCCTTTAGCTAACCAATGAGTGTTTGCGTTTTATGATTCATCTAATTACACTAGTTTTCACTAGATGTTGATGGAGCCAATGATCTGCATTGGATGGCGCACATGAAGTGAAATAAATATTTATAAAAATTAAACCGAAGCCAAGAGTAACGAGTAACGTTTGTTTTAAAAATGTAAGGAATAGAAAGTACAGATACTTGTGTGAAAATGTAATGAGTAGAAGTCAGAAGTAGGAAGAAAAATAAGTATAGATAGTATAGATACCTCAAGTACAAAACTGAAGTAATTGTACTTCGTTACTTGACACCTCTGCTTTTTTTCTCCTTATACATTTGATAGCTGGGAAAAATATTGCAATATATAGTAATATCGCAATATCATGATCATACCATATTGTCCCCCAAGTATTGTGAAACTTATCGAATCGCAACACCCCTGCCATTACTCACTCCTAATCAAGATAGAAACCCAGTTTTAATCTCACTTAGGCTTTAATTCTGATTACTTTAAAATAATCATTTTTATTTAAAATAAGGCAAAAATATGTGATGTTTCTGAAATATAAATGCTAATTAACCTAATGCTCCATTTATACAGGTCACTTTTATCTTTTTGTAGATATTTAATTAGGAGCTAATTATTTAATTTCTGATAACTTTTTCCCTATGGTAGGGGAATTCTGATTTGTGGTTAGTAAAATTTAAATATTCAACCTAAATATCAAACTTTTCCATTGGAACTTCACTTCAGTCTAGAGTCACAAGACTGTTTTGGAGGGTTTTAATGCAATTTCAAGGATGAAATATTGCCGGGTTTTTTTTGTTTCACAAAAATATACCGATAGAAATGCTATCGGCTGATCAAACGTTTTTTTTATTAAACTTATTCAAATTAGGAAGATTTTTTAAAGTTTTGATTTGTTTTTTTAACTCCCAGAAAGCTGAGTAATGCACTGCTGTAAGCATGTGAAAGTATACCAACAGCTTGACATATGTAATACCAAGAGCGACCACTGGAGGGAGGCACAGATAGTTTATTGTACTGCATGAACAAGTCAAGATGTACAGGTTTAATTTTTATCTTAAATTTATTAGCAACTGAAATGTTTTTTTGGTTATTAAAAACTATTTGGTGATAATAGAAATAGTTTTATTTGTTATTTTCATTCTGTTAATCTTTACAACAGAAACAAGAATGGAGACAATTGAAAGAGCAGTGGCTTTATTCAAGTCCAGCATGTTTTATCACAGATACCTTTCATTTGATGAACCTAAACCATCATGTTATATAATCTGCTGCCAAACTCAAACAACCAGCTGTCCTTTGGTGCAAGGGTTTTACTACTACAAAGATATGTGGATGATATAATGCCTGTTTTTCCCTCTACCATCTATGTGCAAATCAAATAGTTCTGAATCTCTGAAAATGATTAAACCAATAAGAGTGGGAGCGCTGCTTCCCATCACCAGGCATAACTGATCTAAATATGACATCCAGGCCAGTCAGAGCTACACCGCCTATGGCAGTGAATGGCATCGCTTGATTTGCAAAAACATAAAAGATCTTCCAGTAAACAGTTAAAACAAAAAGCTGTCAGATTAGTTGTCTGGAAAAAATTATATTTCCAACCTCTTTCTTATAAAGCAATCAAATATGAAAACAGTTGGATATTTTAAAAATAAACCAAATTTGCTAAATAAATGTATAAATACTAGAAACAGGCTTGAACCAATCTGCTGCATCAGTAGGAGAAAAAACCGCCCCACTGATCTAATATTTTAACTTTGAAGAAAGCATTGATTAAGCAACATAACGTTTTTCGCATAACATTCAACGTTAGCCGATCCAATTAAATAAATTACATTCCTGTTTTTTTTGTAAACGATGACCAACAACTGAATGTGATTCATTTTATGATTATTTTGGACAAATATTAGAGTTCTTGGTTTTCTCAGGGTGGAATGGAAGGAGGAGTCATTTTCCTGTGTAGGGTAACAAAGGGTAAAGCGGATGCCACCAGTCCATAAGCTTCACGCTGTGCACAGGATCCAGGACAACCTGCGTCCCGCCCTGATCCCCTCTCTGCTTTCCACGCTGAAGAGGAGAATCCTGGAACAGCAGACGGACGCGATGGTGGCGCATGTCTGTGCTCACGTTGATCGTGAACTGTTAGCAAAACAAGAACATCAGATTAGAGGGTTTTTATGGAGAGAAAAATAAGCGGTTAATGTACATTTTTTGTTTCTTTCAGAGAATCAAATTGTTGTACTGCTCCAATCCTTAACTTGAATGCTTTGATTTTAAAGGCATTTATAAAGTTACTTCTTAAAACATCAACAAACCGACTGATTATAAAAACATGAATAAATCTGAAAGACTGAGATATATTTTTCACTATAACTTTTAGTGACACCTTTATTTTAACAATTGGTCAAACTTATTTTTCAATTCCTTGTTCCAAAAAACCTACATTATGTTAACTAGTCTCTGGTCCGTCATCTTGATGCTTCCATGACTCTTAATGTTGTGAGCAGAAACCAGTTACACATAACAGCCAAAATATGCTGCACTCCATTGCTAATTTTTAATGACAAGCCCAAATACTGTGCTGAAAATATCCATTATTTATTGCACAGTCCAAAGGAGACGTTCTACCTAATCCTTCTACATCTACATCTCTGCTACCCAAATGTATTGTTAACGTGTTAATGAATACATTTTTTTTTTTACATTAATCCAAACAGATTTTCTTTTTAATTTTCTTAAATTGTGAAACGTCAACACAAGCTATTTCACAGATGCTTTTTTTTTTAAGTTATGCTTTTTTATGAACCTTTTTGGCATTTATTCTAACAAATAAAAGTTATCTTCAAAAATTAGAGTCCTTGGTCCTAAGCAAACACAAATTATATTATACAGGAATGAGTAACTAATTTAATGGTTTTTAATGCTCTTAGAAAAAAATTAATGCCGTCAACAAAGAGCCTTGAAAATCTCTCTCTCTCTCTCTCTCAATATACAAACATAAGAATATAAATATATATAACAAACACGGCAAAAATCCTTCGTCATCTTAACCCTCAACAGGCTGCAGGTATGTCCCAAATTCCCCGTTTTTCAGCCACTTTTGTTGAATTTGCATTTTCTTTTTAAATGCCACTATAATCACATTTAAGGAATTTTAATGCCAATTTAGGCCTTAATTCAAAAAGTAACAATTTAATGACTTTTAATGATCACCAGAAACTGTGATATATATATACCGTAAATCCTCTAATATAGGCCCGGGCCTTTATTTCACTCAAGTGCATAACGGTCCAGGCCTTTATTGGATAGAGGCCAGTATTAGAGACAGGCCTCTATTGCTATTTGAGCAAAACAGACTACCAGTGGAATGAATAAAAATGAGATTTTGTGTCTATTTGAACCTATAAAACACTAGGTTCATTTATTGAAAAAGTACAGTTACCATGTCTCGCTTGGTTTGAAGTAAAAAAGAAAAAAAAAAATCCTCCAATTCTGTTTAATCCTCCTCCTCAGTTTCCTCCTCCTCTTCATCTCTCCCTTTAATCTCCTCATCACTCGCGCTCCTCCTCATGTTCTGCTGCGTGTCTGTTCTCTTCCTCGCACAGACGGGCAGCAGTCAGGGCCTGTCGTCCAGCAGCGCAGGGCTGTGGTACTTGTATGTTACTTACTACCACAAGTATAATGTTGAGGTATGCCCAGAAAAAACGTTTATAGCCCCGGCCTGTATTAGAGACCGGCCATTATTTACCTCCTCTGACAGCGAGACCGGCCAATATTAGAGTCCCGGCCGCTAATGGAATACAGGCCAATATTAGAGAATTTACTATATATGTAATGCTGCTGCAATTAGTCGATGTTATTGAAGATGAAAATTCGTCAGCATGTCTATCGCCTATTTTGTTCTGAGCAACCGGCTCATCTGAGTTAAGGCAGTTCCGCTCCATAGCCCTTATTTTGTGTGCACATCACTAGCAAATTGGCTCCCTTTTTCTCTCCTGTCTCGAGCTTCTGTTACTGTTGGTTCTGGTTTGAACGTGACATGAAAATAGCAGCGGTAGGTCTCTAGAAAACCAAAAGTATCCAAAATATGGGAATACTTTGTAACAGTGATAGAGTGGTTTGCACAATCTGTAAGTCCTTGTTGCCTTATCATGGCAGCACAACCACGATGCACGAGCACCGTAAAAGGAAACACACAGGAGTGGTTGGGGATGCTTCTGAAAAGGAAAGGACGATGTAGGTAACATGATTCCTGTTTAAACGCCTAGTAAGTAATGCTCTTTATAAACCTTTTGAAGTACGATGACCGACTTTTTTTGGATGTTAAGCCGGCCCCCTCAACTCTTTGGTAATTTTTTGGTAAACTACAATGAATAACGCTATGCACGCGCATTTATAGTATTTTTTTGTGCTTTTGAGACGGCGGCACCTCGAGACAGAGGGTTTATCGAATTAACACACAGACAAAGATAGAATGGACCCTTTTTTTTTTTTACTTGGCACCACCATCCTGCGGCTACTCTGCCAACATCCATATTTTTTTGTCAAGTAGTCATTAAGATTGATCGACTGGTCGAAAAATGAATTGTTAGAAAATGAGTCGTTAGTGAAAGCTCTACTAATATATAGCACTGATTTTATTGCATTAACACACAGGTACTAGAATTAGAATCAGCTTGTCTTTGAAGATAAATCCTGTAAGGATATCAGTAGTAATGATTATATTTGCTATCAGGATGGGATATACTTGTTTTAGAGGCGAATTGAGTTCCATGAAAAAAGAAAATCCACCCACCAGGGTAAGTGTCAGTCCCATGACAACAGGGATGAAGATGTAGTTGAGCGTGGTGACCTGAAGCACACAGCAGTCAGAGTCTGGATTCATATGAACGTCTTCATATTGTTTTGGCAGGTGCAAAGACTTGGCAAAGCCGTTCTTTCCCTGCAGGGATGGAGACTGGTTTAGAATGCTATCACAGCAGGGGATCACAACAACCAAAGGGTATTCATTTAAACCAACTGTGTGCAGAACAAAGGCAAAAGTGACAGTTTGTTCCTTTAAAAAAAAAAAAAAACACACAGGCCTTTTCTCAATTCACAAGAAGGCAAGTACGGACTTGTGTCCTCGCCAAGTATGTTCTTGAGAAGAACACAGTAAAGTGTGAACTCTGGTAGAACAGGAGCATGCAGCATAAATATGGGTCAATTGGAACAGAAGCGTAGTCGTAAAGTCACCACATGCCCGACTCATCTAGGGCTGCATGTAACCTCCTGTTATTAATAGTCTCTAGATAATAATTCTTACTCTTTTCATTTAGTGGGGGAATAATAATGAAGACAGTCAGATAAACACAAATCAAACATTTTCCCAAATAAAAACACTCGCCATCAGAGCCACCAGTACTTTACACACTATGCACGCTATGCAGAGAGAGGGCTGCTGCAGACGGGCTATTGTTAGCCCTGGCTGCCGTTACGATCGGAGGTCCGCTGGTTGCCGCAGTCCTCTTAACCTGGAATTTGTTTTTTTTTTATTACACATTAAATCAGTAAATGGGCCATATAGTGATACTTAAAAGTCTGATATTCTCGCCTTAAATAATCTAAAAAAATACTTTTTTTCCGGTTTGTCGGAAGCATCTTGCTAACCAGTTAGCAACTAAGTGCTAGTAGGATCCCAATGAGAAATTCCATTGGGACCAAGAAGTGCTAAATTGGTGACTTAGAAACGACACTGTCAAGGAACGCTATGGACAGAGAAAACATGCAAGAGGAGGAGAGTTTAGTGTCGGAGGTCGTGGATGAGTCTCCTCTGTCATACAGTTTTTATTTAGAGGAGAAAAGCGGGGATGAAGATGTTGTGGAAGAGGACGCCAGGAGCTTGGTTTGGTGTAGAAGACTTCCAGCCGTACATGTTTGAGCCCTTGCCTCGCAACGCTGCCAGTTCTGTTAGCTCTATGCCTGCTGAAGACACAGACGTCCATCCCCGTGAACACTGGGACGGAACTCAATGGAAAAGGAAATAATTCTTATTTCAACCGCTGCATATATTAGCTGCGCCATATGAATATATTGGCTGAATTTAGATGTTCAGGCTGATGTATAACTAACTGGCCTGCATAAGATGACAAGAAAAAAAATAGATTTTAAGACAGGATTAAAAAAAAAATTACATTTTCTAACTTTTGGGACAATATGGTCTGATAAAAAATACATTTATATACATGTTTAAGCCAGAATGGTTTGACATTTAAATATTACTTCCCTACGACTTTAACTTAATACTCTGAGCTCTGTTAAAAGCTGCTGCTACAGCAGTGCATGCTGGGACAGCTGTCGATCTCAAGAACGGACAAGTCTGCTCTGATGCATGCTGGGTAAATAGGGAGGGGCGAGAACAAGATTCAGGGACTTTGTCCTTTCTGGGTTTGCTGTTCTTGTGAATTTGAAAAGTTCTAGGACTGTGGCTGATGATGTTTCACAAGTAAATGTGGAGAAACGACAACAGTTACCTGCTTTTTAAATTTGAAGTTGAACTCCCACAATGCTTCTGGTCGAGTGCCTGACACCTTTTTGACCCAGAAGAGTAAACACTGAAACAATAGATTACAGGCATTTAAAATCACTAATTCATAATGTCACATTTCAGCTTCAGGTCATGTTTATTCTTTTAGTATGAAGAATATTAAAGACAAAATCTTACTTTATAGTTTAAACCCATCACATTGCAGGTATATGATACCCAGAATGGCAAATGTATCAAAGGTATTTTTAAATCTAGCTTTGAAAAACTTGTTAAAAGAAAATAAACAAGCAAGGAGGTCACAAATGGAAAACTTTGTACCTTGGAGTTGAGCAACGTTGTGGGCGTGGAATCTGGCAGCACAGGAATTTTTGAAACCCGCAAGCTAAACGGCTCGTACAAATGGAAAAGAGAGCGGATCACACAAGCCCGCAGACAACGCATCCTATCCATGGAGTCCGGCTGGAGACCAAACGGAAGATCAATTTCAGCCCTGTAGTGCCTTTGAGGTACAAAAAAAAAAAAAAAAAAATGGAGTTAAAAAAACACTACACAGCATACAGGTTTACCTCAGAACTAATATGACACATTTAGCACCCAATTAGCACCGTTTGCAATAAAGAGTCTAATATGAAGCAATTGAAGCCACTCACAGCTAAAAAAAACACCCCAAATAACAGGAAAGGCTCATGATGGTTAATGTGCTCTTTTCCTATTAAAGTTTTTGTTAATGTTATGGAAATAAATCTTAAACAGTGAGGCAGGGATTCAGCTGCCCATGCTTTGAAAACAGACAACTCCTGCAGATAAGAAGATTTTAACAAACCTTAGAAAGCTGGGAACTCCTGTGTTCAGAGGTTAAGAAAGCACATCCGATATTTAAAGGTAAAGTTTTAAGATCCAGCTTCTATCTGAAATAAGTCGACTAGAAACTGGCTAAATCTTATATCACATACCGTTTATTCTTCATTCCAAAAATGAACTGAATAACAAAAACTGAATGAGAAATTGAACATAATGTGTGCAAGAATCATTTGAAAAGATTACATTCCCATCTAAAATGAGTGGAAACCTGCTTTAAAAAAATAAAAAAAAACAGTAACAACTGAATTAAGAGTAAAACAGGTGTCAAACGGCACAGTTTAATCATAGCTACTGCTCTGCTACAACAGTAAATCATATCTGTGTATAGAAGGCTGTCAAATCTCAAAATAGTTCTGCACCAAATAGAACATAAAAATAATGTGATAATATAAATTTTAGTTTTATATAAATATATTTTCCCCACAGCTTGGAAAAATCTATAGAATATTCCATATAGGGCTGAATTTTAAAACTTTATCTTATTAAAGCTGCAGTCTGTAACATTAAGGAAGTAGCAGAAAAAATTTGAAGAAAAACAGGTTTCACGCCACTCCCCCACCCTCTCTGCTTCACTCATGCCCCACCTCCAAGCTCCACCCCTCTCACAGCATCTGCGCGGCTACCGCATGCGACCGGGGGGGGGGGGGGGGGGGGGGGGGGGGGGGGGGGGGGGGGGGTTCAGCGTGTGTGAGCTGTGATTGACACTCCATCAGACGCTCCTCTGGCTGTGATTGGTTGTTTTGACTCGTCCCGAATTATTCCTTCCAGATTGAAATACAGGCAGCAGGCGGTACCAATTGAAGCAGTTTTTTTCACAGGTTACATATCACATGTACTGCTGTCTGGGCATAGGGACAGTTTTAGCCAATATGACAAAAAGGTGATTTTTAAAAACTTACAGACTTCAGCTTTAATGAGCTAATTTTAAATTCCTCACCAATAAAGAATGTGATTATTTATTGTAAAAAGTCTGAAATCAATCCTAATTAACATCGTATTTCAGGGCTCTGCAACCTGAGGCTCCAGAGCCACATGCGTCTCTTTGGACCCTCTACAGTGGCTCTTAACAGTGTCTAAAATGTATATAAAGAGCTAAGTAATTCACTGCAAAATAAATGTCAGTCTTAAAAGCTTTAGTGGTTTTTATAAGATGGATAAGAATAATTAAAAGAACCAGAAATATATGTTTTTAGAACAGTTTAGCTTTTAAGTGGTTTGGAATGTATGTATTTTAATATTATTTTAAAAGCTGAAAATACATACATTGTTGGTTGTTTAAGATTGCAACTCCTTACATATACAATATAATAATAATAATATTAATAAAAAAAAAATAGTTTTTTTCTAAAAAGTCATCTATTTTGCGGGTCTAAACAACTTTTACTTGGTCAGACTCGGGACAAAATGGCTCTTTGGAAATGAAAGGTTATAGATCCCTGTATTAATTGATTTAAAACCAATGTGAGTCATGCCTGTTGCCATTTTACTATAGATGTATAGTAATTGAACTTTATTGATCATATTTAAATTTACTCTCTGCATTTGACCCATCCCCATGGGGAGCAGTAGGCTGCCATAGTGTGGCGGTCAGGGAGCTGCGTGGGGTTAAGGGTTTATATATAATTTTATATAAATATATAAATTATTTCAAAGAGCATTAAAAGAGCATTGAAAAAGCTCTGATTTAGAGTTACTAATTCCTGTATAAACCTTGATAAATTTTTTGTCTTCATGTTTCAAACATGTTTTTTGCTGTGGTGGAAAGAGAATAATTGAAGTTCGAGATCGGATTGCCATTATGGGGAAAATGTAGATCTGATATGAGAAGAAAATAAAGCATTTTAAATGCCACTATAACCACATTTAATACATTTTAATGCCAATTAAGGCCTTAATTTAAAAAATAATAATTTAATGACTTTTAATGACCCCGCGGAAACCCTATTTATGCATTCGACTGCATTGGGAGTGTTCCTTCCTAATATCTGGTTTGTAATTAGATTGTTTATTTGAATGGATGCATGTTTATCAAACTTTTCTGCACCCAACAAACTCACTTGGCCTTATAATTACAACACCCTTATTTATTACAAAAAAGAAAATTAAAAACAATCCACAGCAGTTTCAAGTTAGAAGACATTTCGCTTCCCATCCAGGGAGCTTTTTCAATTCAAAATGTCAGGAATAGCGTTGAGTTCCTGACATTTTGAATTGAAAAAGCTTCTTGGATGGGAAACGAAACGTCTTCAAACTTGGAAACAAAGTCCAGTGGATCGTTTTTAATTTTCTTTTTTTGGAACAACTACGACCTGGATGAATCTTCACCAGCATCACCCTTACTCCTTAATTTGAGGCAATATTTTCCACATCTAATCATATGTTTCATCACATTTCAAAACAGCTTTAAAACCTTGAAACTAATCACCTTCTGTAGAGTCTGGTCCAAAAAGCTGCAGTGCAAGTAACTGTCCAGGCGCTTCTGCAGATCAAAGCAAACCTGCACACATCCTCAGGCCGAATGTAGGAAGAAAGGACCAACCAGATGTCTACTGGGTAATCCTCCCCATCACTGCTCTCACTGCTTCCTGGGATCAAAAGGAAACAGCACAATGAACACACACGGAATAAATATTCATAGAGTGATCGAAAGATTGGTTTAAAATAGAACCTTTCTTTCTCTTGGTTTTCTTTTTGCGGGTCACTTTGGTTTCGCTCCCCCCTTCATTATCATCATCGGGTTCAGGGTCATCATCACTGCTGCCTGCAGCGTCTCCTCCGACTGCAGACGAAAGGACTTCCTCTACCGCCCCCTGGGAGGCTTCCAACCCGCACAGCAATTTTACTGAAACATGAGGCTTATTAGAACACAGTCTCATTTTCATTTACAGTAATTAAACGTTAGCATGTTTTTTACCTTCTTTTTCAATCGCATTGGCGACAGCTTTCTTTACTCTACCAGACTTCACGACGGCTGGGTCCGCATCAGCAAAATCAGCAACTGTGACTAGAAAAAAATAAATAAATTAGACACATTAAGATAAACACTTTTAAACTCCTAAAACCCGAGCTGGTGTTGTGTTCTAATGACTACCGCCTGTTCAAAGTAACTTCAAAGTAACTTCAGGGCTAACAAAGTGAACGATCAGGGCTGTGTCAAAGGTTGAAGTGTAGCCTCCCGGGGCTAATTAGCTACCTGATTCAGAGCAAACGTCTCCGGCCCTAAACTTCAGCCGTTTTCGGTTCCCTTTCTTGGGCATGTCGACACCACTGATAAAGAAACGACTAACGGGCCTGTGAGTCCTGCCATGGCTCAATGGCAAGCCGAGTTAAAGAGAAAGACAAAAAAATAACAGATAAATTAAAAAATGTTCCGCCGGGGTCTTCAGCCATCATGGAATGACGTCACATCCGAAAATCCCGCGAGAAGGAAAGCTTCTCGCGCTTCTCATTTTCTTCTTCTCTATCTTCGACTTCTGTGTCGTTGCAATACTGCCGCCTTATGGAAATACCAGATATGGCTAAACTATAATGTACATTTGTGGTAGATTTGTCTCTTTTCCCCAGTGTTTGGATATTTTTAGAAGTGTGTGTGGACTCATGTCAGTTGACTGTTTAGACTGCACTCATCTACATTTAAATATTTTATATATATAGAATAGAATACAGGGCTCGATGTTAACCATTGCCTGATCGCCCGGGGCAAGTACTTTTTATTGTCGGGAGAGTACAAATTTGCTGCACCTGGAGAAAAAATTATCAATATACAGCTATGGACATTTTTACAGCAATAGATATTTGAAAATAACAGCAACATCAGAGATGTGGATAATGACAGCAGCATGTTATTTAACTGACTAAGTTAGAAACTGTGCAAAAAGCAGCATCAGTATAACAACTTATTGAGGTTGTTGGGAACAGTGGTGGTTATAGAGTCTTCCAGCTGCTGGGAGGAAGGATCTGTGATCACGCTCCCTGGTGCATTTAGAGTGCAGCAGTCTGTCACTGAAGGAGCTCTCTAGTTCAGCACCAGTTTCATGCATGGGGTGGGAGACATTATCCAACAGAGATGCTAATTCAGTAAATATCTATATATGTATCAAACTATCTATACTATCTATATACATCTATATAAATCTTGATAGATAGATAGATAGATAGATAGATAGATAGATAGATAGATAGATAGATAGATAGATAGATAGATAGATAGATAGATAGATAGATAGATAGATAGATAGATAGATAGATAGATAGATAGATAGATAGATAGATAGATAGATAGATAGATAGATAGATAGATAGATAGATAGATAGGGTTACTTTATGCTTTTTTTAACAGTTGCCCTTTTTTAAATATGAATTCTTTCGTTTATTTTTCTTTTAAGACTGGTCTGCAATGGTGGCACCAGGGGGCGCTAGAGGGCGCTAGAGCTACCATTGGAAAAGTCATAGCCTTCCAAAGAGAAATGTTTTTGGGATACCTACTATATAATTAAAGTTAATAATAATAATAATAATAGTAATAATAATAGTAATAATAATAATAATAAAAACAATAATAATAATAATTAAATTAATTATTATGATGAATATAAGGAAAACAAAACGTTACATTTCAAAAATATGTTCATTCATTAAAAAATATATATATATTATTAGAACCTCTTTTATAGATTGACTATGAAGTTGTAAAGTTAAGAAAATGTTACTTATTTTGTAATTTTGTATATTTAAATTGTCAAAATACCATATGGTGTAACTGTCTAGCCCCAATCACTGTTATGTGAAAGTAAATAAATTACTTTACATTTATTAAAATGTATTTTCAGCCACTTTTGCCATTATTTTAAATTATTTTTCTCCCCTACTATTTCATATGCAACGTTTTGCTTAATTTCTCCACAAAACAAGAAAAATATTTTTAAAAATCATTTAGGACATGTGATTAAGCAGATTATTTTTTGATGTAGGTATCATAGGTAATTCTACATTTATTATTCATCTACTTACTAAAAAACATATATCTACTTCCCCAGATGTCGCTGATGAATTCACAATGAGCTCACTCTATTTCGTTTTCCTAGATATGGGGAAATAAATACAGTGGACTGATTGTAAAAGTTTATACACTACGCTATGCTCTTTATGTGTGTTGTTATATGATTTAATTGAATAGCAGAACAACACATTTTCATTATCCAACTCATTGTTGACTTTTGCAAATTTAAGAGTAGCTCTGTTTATTCTATGCTTTTTTTTTTTTGCATCTGTTTGCTGTTTCAGAATCTGCTGGACCTGCACTGAATGCTGCAAAGCCTCTTCCCAGAGGGCAGCAGGGAGAACAGTCCATGGTGGGGGTGTGAGGGGTCATTGATGATGGTACTGGCTCTGGACAAGCAGCGCTGGGATGGAATGTCTTTAATGTAGGGAAGAGGTGCCCCAATGATCCTCTCTGCTGTTCTCACCACTCTCCTTGCCTTCTTCCAGTCTGCGGGGCTGCAGCCTCCACACCACACAGGGAGACAGCTGATCAGAATGCTCTAAAACATTTATCACTTTAACCCAATTGTACAATATACTATGCCTGGCAAAAGTATCTTTAGATGTCACGCACATTCTTACGAAACATTTTGTTTACTAATTGTCCCTGTCTGGTACCAATCCTGAACCAACCTCTGCACACAATTTGCATGTCAGAAGGAAATGGTTTTCAAGATTAACTGAAGTTCTCCTCTATCCACAAAATCTGACCCTATCTAATGGCATTACCAGGAGTTAGGGCAAAGGGATTCAGTTGTTGACACTTTGGTTTTATTTTTATTACTTTGTCCTTTTAGGATGTTGTGGTAAGAAAATTTTCGATTCTATATATTAATTTATCCTATTTACTCACTATAAAAGTTTTCACGCAGTCTGTTTTACCTGCAAGGCCACACAATTCCCCATCATGTGTGTGTTTGTAGACCAGACATTGCTTCTTCCCAAAACAAGCCAGTTTCTTTTTCAAGAATTATTCATAACATGTTACTGTTTAAGTGTCTGTAATTTGTTTTGACTCTGACTGCTTTCCATTATTGTAAGTAGAGGGAACACACTCTGCCCAGGCAGAACAGGGCTGAATACCAAGCAGTACAGGCCGTATGATGAACAGTTCTCTCTTTGTAAAAATATGAAAATAAAGTGCCGACTGAGTGAAATCCATCGATCTCTGTTTATTTAACTGGGGTGAATAGTTTAATATTTTCTCCCACTACACATATCTTTCTGTATTGACCTTTGGATCTTTCGTAGCCTTATATGAGCTGTCCTCTTCACTAATGTTTCCCTCCAAGCAGCTGCAGCTCCTACTCTAAGCTTCATGGTTCTTTTATATTCTGTTATTTCTGTTTCTATGCTTCTTTCTCACCTTTTTCTTGTTGTTTTCCTTACTCACATGTTTGGTTCAAATTTTTCCATGTTTCTGTGTTACGGTAAACTGTAACACCGTTTGCTGTAACACAGTAAACTGGGAGGAAGTGTTCATCCACTTCCTCCATCTTCATTCAACCCAAGCTCACAATCTGTTAGTATCTGGGTTTCTTTATCTTTCCTTTATCTCATTTTTTCCCCCCTACATCCTCTGTTGCCATCAGCCTTGCTTCTCAATGTCCAAAAGCCACTTTTCCATCATTCTTTGTTTGATTTCAATTTCCGCCACTTTTCCTCTGTCTTTGTATTTATTCTTTAGACTATGTTTACAAGGCTCTGACAGATTTTTTATAAACAATACACCATTTAAAAAATGAAAATGCCTGCGTATTTTTAGAGGCTTACATATATCATTTTATTTTATTTTTTTTTGTCACACCAAGAAACTCGGTTCACCTTTGGGCTACACTATGGAGCTATTGGTTATGTTGCCTTTCAAAGCAACATAACCAAAACATGACTGTTAGGTTAACTGGTCTTTAAATTGCCCTTACCTATGTTTGTTCTATATGTGTATTTGCATTTCCCTGTGAAGGACTGCTGGCATGTCCAGAGTGTATCTGTACTAACTCTGCTCAATGGTACATGGAAATATGCAAGAACTCCACTCCCTATCGAGTGAATTTTGTTCCATTATTTATTTTTTATCGTTGTTCATTTCATTTGACAAACAACAGCAAATAACAGAAGTAGCAAAGTTATCCTCCACCTGGGCCTATGAAAACCTCATTCAATAAAAAATAAAAATGCCTCTGTGTTATAGATTCTGAAAGGCCTTGCATCAAAAAAAAAAAAAAAAATGCAAGTGGAAAGAGGGTAGTGGCTAAATGAAGTGAGGTTGGAGGGTAAAATAGAATTTTGTTCCATTATTGGTTTTAGCAAAGAACACATTTTGTAAATAGAGATAAAAAAAAAAAAAAAATGAAATCTAAGAGAAATAACCCAAAAATTTTACTTTAAAAAACATCTTCCTTTTTTTTTTGTTATTAAAAAAGATTTTGAGGGTAACTTCTGTGTTGTGTTTTTCAGATTTAGTTTTTACCATTTTTTTTTAAGTTTTTACTTTTTCATTTTCATAAATTGTTTTACAGTTTTAGTGTATTCAGTATTTTTCTTTATATTTATTTATATTTTGATTTTATTTAGTCAGATATACCTTTTATCGCAGAAACGATTTTTCCTTTTTTTTATTTCAATTTTCCAGATTGAGTTATTTTAATCACATTCTCTTCACTCCTTATGGCAGGCTTTCCACTTAAGTGTGGAGCAAAAGATGCATCTACATTGGTCTGCATGAATGTTGGCAACACTATTCCTATTGCTCCATGAGGCTGGGTCAACAGCTAACATTTGCATTGGAAAGTGAAGAGAATATGATTTGTAAAACACAATTTGTAAATAAAATATTAAAAAAATGCAATTTGTAAAACTCAAACTGTAAAACAAAAACGTAAAGCAAATACCGTAATGGAAATATAAAGTAAAAAAAAAAAAATCAAATAAAGATAGAGAATTTTAAAAAGAAAAAAATCAACAAAAATAATATTTTGGAAAGCAAAACCTGAGTTACTCTTAAAACTTTTTTTTTATTAAAATGCTTTTCAAAGTTTCATTTCTAGATAGCTTTTTTCAATTTTCAATTGATTTTTTTTTCTAATTTCCACTTGTAAACTGTGTTTTTTTGCTAGCAACAATTATTATACAAAATTCCCTTCATACTATCCCAGCAACCCCACAAGGACACTGGGTAGAATATGGATGAAAACTTCATCTTGTTTTTCATAATAGAAATAAAATAAATAACTTGAGAAAAACTAAAGTGAAACCATTTACCAGTAAATGTCCCCTGCCTCAATTGCTTTCATGCATGATGAGCCAATCACATCAATGGGCCAATAATCACCCTTTTCTGATGATATTTTTTCAATTCCTTCTGCAGCCTATCCTTT